ATCAGTGAGACAACATGAACGTGGAATAGCCATAGTGAAAATGAGCAGCATATTCAAAGAGACACAGCAAAGGAGATACAATTCAACAACAGTGACTGAGATGAGGAATCACCTTTACATGAAGCTAATGGAAGTCCTGCAGAAATCTGGATGGGAAAGGAAACTGTTGATACCATACAAGATTAAATAAAGCTCAGAAGTGAAGCATCTAAAATGACCAAGTTAATATGGTTTTCAAATGGATGGGGCACTCCAATAGGTAAGCTGAGATCCAGCCTTTCTCAGYTTAAAAAAGATTCTAGTCTCTATGTGATTTCATCAATCTTCATGAACTTTTGTGGAGTACAATATTATCAGCTATATGTTAACATCTTGATCCTTGGAAATACTCAGAAGCCGCCTGTATGCAATCCTGGGCAGTGTGCCCCAGGTGACCCCAAGTGAGCAGATTTGGACTAGATGATCTCCAGAATTTCCTTCCAACYTCAACCCTTCTGTGATTCTGTATGAAGCTATAAACACTCTAAACAATCTGTCCCATATAGCTGAAACAAATGTTTGTTCCCAGAGAAAGAGGTGTAAACTGAGATTGCTTACAGAGATAAAGAAGCAATATTTGAGACTTGGTTATTTAGGCACAATGCCAGTAATTTAGAAAACATGATTTAATGCAAGTGAAGCACTCTCATCAAATACCAAAAAATGACTGAATAAAAATTAGAAATCTGAAAAATAGCAAAATGCTTGTACAAGAAATGGAACAACAGGGCCCTAATACCTAATAYTACCCAGATACTCTTTGGTAATCTGTGTAGCATACTAATATAAACAATACATATCAATGGGAATTTACTGTATGAGAAAACTGGAAACTCAGGGGTAGATCACATTTAGCTTCTATACATCTAAAGAATTGTGCACATACTAGCAAATCTGATCAGTCACAACTGTTCATAGAGAAAATCCTGAATGTGCAGAATAAGAACAAGAAAAAAAGACAAATGTGCAAGTGTAGATAATTTGATCAATCGAGGAGGCAGGATGGAAGAAGGGAAGAAAGGCTGGAAGAATGGAGGTAAGCAAGTATCTGGCAAATCATTACATCCTCTTAGATTATACATGGTTCTATTTCTCCATATTATTACAACACTTTTTAATTGTCACCGGCTTTGAATAAATTCAGAGAGATTGCTGACCTAACAACTTTAAACAATTTCCTACCTTTTTGCAGAGCCAAAGCCTGCATTTCCCACATGTTCCTTCAGATGTGCCCACTGTACAATGGAGATTCAAAACTCAATCAAGCAAACATTAAAACACTTGATTTATGGCCCTGGACTATGGTTGGTATTAATAACGGGGATTAAAACAAGTCCATACCGTTCAGATTGGGAGTTCTTTTATTGCGTGCGTTTGGTGCCTAGAACAATGAGAGCATCTAAATTTTCAGAGCTCCAAAGAACAGCTGGTGACACATAAAATTAACCAAAGCTTGCTGAGAAAATGATGCATTTTTATTTCTCTGTGAAGCCCTCAGAATAGTTTTGGGCCCACAGGTAAAAAAATAAAAAATATGAACCCATAATAKTAAAGTAAAAGATTAAATCAAATAATCAAATGCTAGTAAATTTACAACAGAAAAAAAAAAAGCCATTTTCCTTGAATGTAGCATATAGTCAGCAAATGCTACATTTGTTGTGGAATGGGAAATAAATGCTGCTGCTGGATGCTTGAGAGGACTGGAAGCTACCCCTTCACACACAATTTGGAACATTATATCCATGCAAGTGAGAAGCTACACCTAGTCAAATATGGAGAGTCTGAGCCTTGCTGCCATGCATAATTCTGCAGTTTGCTCTATGCATTGTGATAGCRGAAAGTTTTACATGCTGGGAGAAGCTTTCTTTTCTCCAAAATGAACACCAAACAGACTGCAAAGACGTATTAATTAGTCCAAAATAAAAAAAAAAAACCCACATTTTTATACAAATCATTATACCAATCTTTTTTTAATACAAATAAAGTCATTAAAATGACTTAATATTGAAAATGAGATATATGGGTAAAATGCTAAATTCTACAGAGAGGAGTCTTCACTCCATTGAAAGTTTTGAGTTGAAAGTTTTACTTCGTTGTCTCTTCCACAACTTGAGTTAGTCATCCACAATTCAAGACCCTTTAGAAATCGAGSTCAGCCCAAGCCTCCCTTCCTGTTGCTTTCTTTGTTATGATGCCTAATTTAGACTTTGCTTCTGCAAAGGTGTAAGCCCTCCAATAGGGCCCTCCACCTTAGGCCCTCCACCTTAGGATAGGTTATAAGCCAAGTCATATATTACAGTGATTCAGCCCCCAATAAACCAAGGCACCCAAATGAGCCTTTGCAGAAGTGGGACAAGAGCTAATACCCTGAAATACAGAACGGGTCTTTTTTACTATTATTATTTTTATTTGTCTTCAGGGGTGCTGAGTTACAAAAAGATCTCAATTTGAGCCTTACTTTGATCTGAACACAGAGCTGGTGTCAGGACTATCTAAATGAAAACTGTTTTGTTATTCTGTTTTACCCTCTGCAAGCCTAAAAATATCTTATGTATAGAAATGAAAAGTACTTTGAAGAGAGGCTAAGAGGTCCTCTGTTCATCACAAAGTGTTTCAAAGCATTTTTTTTCTTTTTATTCTTATTCTTGAGGAAACTAAGAGATCTGAGCAGCTTAAAATCTGTGGAAGACTTATCTGGGATGTCTTCCTTCAATTACCATCTAAAGTAATCAAGTCTGAAAAGGGTTGAAATTATTGCCAAGTCAGAATTTTCTAGCAAATACTCAGAAATACATGGTTGTCAGTGGGACACAGTATGAACTGAAGAGAGRTGTGTTACAGTATTTCAAAACAGAGAAATATGAATTACAGCAGGATGTAGTAATCTACCCATCCAGTACTCAACTTTTAAACAAAAGTTGGCAAATTCAAAAGCATTTCAAAATGAGYGCCATTAATACTCAGAGCTTTGGGAAAACAACAGAACACAAAGAACATAARCCAAAGCTCACTCTATTTTGTATACCCAGCAGAAAATCAAGGACTTGAGCATGAGATAGAATAGTACCAAGTTCTTCCTCTCACAGTCTAGGACAGCAAGATGATTGTGACCTGTCTGAATATGTGAAACCTTTATTTTTGCAAATAAAGGGGATAACCAGTAAAATGCATCACACACTGACCCTTGTGTAAACTTACAGCTACTCACAGAAATAAACTTTTGGAWATTATTCATAACATGAGTGATTTAGGAGTAAATACCTTTGAAATTAATCTGACATTCTCAAATTAATTCCAGTGCCTGCAGCATAGTGTTTACCCCGCATTTCCTGCACCTCCCCAATATCCTTTTTTATTTCATTAACACCTTTCTGCTCCAGACACAATTTGTCTTCTAATTGCTGGCAGACAGAGAATTTCCTTTACTGCCATTTCCCTTTAATTGCTTCTCAAGAGTATCCAAATTGCTATTTCACTGTTATCCAGAGGCTTGCTATCCAGGGGCTGAACACTAAGACCCAGAACAGTCCSTACCTTAAGTGGCAACTAGCCCATAGCTGATTTGATTCATTACACACCTGGTCAAAACACGAGGTACAAAAAAGAAAAAAAAAAATGGTAATGCAAGGAGGTGCCTAAGGCAGCCCAGCTTAATGGCACAGAACAGGTTTCTGAAAACACAGTTGTTTTCCAAGCCATCTGCTAAAACCTGCTTCCAGCAAACTGCAAACTTCACTCCTTGCCACCTCTCCCATGGGCCACATGTGTCCAGACCTGTCCACCTAGGAGACTGGCAGGCTAATCCTTTTTTTTTTTCCCTTGTAATTAGGAAAACTGTGAGTCAAAAAAATGCCCAGCAAAAATAATTCTCACTCTTCAGGGTGCTTTACTGATAATTTGTAAAAGGCTAAAAGTTCTTGAAGGACTGAGACTCTGTTCTACAGCAGCACAGGGTTCCTAGAGAGATGGGCTGCCTATAAAGGAGGAAGGACATCACAAGCCTCCTCCAAAAGCAGACAGGGTTGTGGCTAAAAGCCGCTCAGATACAACATTTCTGAATTTCTCCCACAAGATATTCACATTTCCTCTTCATAATTATAGGATAGGAAGAGTTCCAGTACAGAGTCTGTAAAATAAACTCCCTTCTGGTTTTAAAAAGGCTGAATTACATCAATTCATACAAAATGAGAGGGACTAGTTTCTTCTCCTGGGGGAACATGTTGTTTCCAGGGGAAAATGAAGCAGAAACATTTTTACTGGTGCCAGAAAACAGGGCGAAARAGGAGCTGAAAATATTTCTAAAGAACCCAGTATGCAGTTACCATGGGAGTCTTTCTGAAGCTGTGGCCCAGCATAAGTAGGAAAATGGAGGTGGAGTTTAGCAAACCATTTCCAGACCACCTAAATCGTGACACTCTTAGTAAACTCTTAAAACCCTGAAAATCAACAATTCCTTCATATAGGTAACAGTATTTCCAAAGCACCCAAGCACAGGCTTTCAATGTAAGCATGAAGTACTTTGGTAAATAAAGCTGGAATCTCACTTAATGCCAATCTGCCATAATTCAAGGGTATATAATAAGACAAAATCCATCCAAAGTTATTTTTATTTCCCAGTAAATGGTTTAATATCTACTGCTGTTACCAAAATATTGCTGAGGTAAAATTCAGGGTTAGATATTGGCATTTTGGAAGTTCCCCACCCTTTGATTTAAATAGTATCACACAATTCTGCAGTGTAGAATTTTTCAGAACGGGAATGTCTGAACATCACACATGAGGCTTATAAATAATCTAGGAAAATACTTACTTGTCTGGGGAATACCACTTATCCTAGGTTTGGAAGGTGTTAGTGAGATTTCTGGAATACACAAGACTTGAGCTTCTTTCCAAATAAGTAAACCTCTCCCATTGCACATTCCAGCACACACACACCCCCCATTCCAAATTAATGCTCTTACCTTATCTTTATTCTCAGAGCCAGAATCCTCAAGTTTGGTCCGAATCACAAAAGGAGTAGATAATCTCATGAGGACTCGTTCAAACGTGGCACTGACCTTAGGAGAAACTATGTCAAAGCAGTCCTGGAATTTCAGTGTTTTATGAGTGTCACATCTGAGCTGCTTCCTAAGACCTTCTCCAAGCTGCAGAATCAACATGTTTGGATCAAACATCAGGTGGAAGGGGAAAGCTCTGCAGAAGGTGCTGATGCTGATCCTCAGGTCCAAGGGGGAATGGGATGTTCCTGGTGGAAGTGTTTTTGTGATATTTGCATTTTCRTGTTCCTTGATAAGGAAAGTCAGACAGCTACAGTTACCTGGGTTTGTCCCCTCTGAACACAGTTTATCACTAGTAACCTGCTCTACTTCCACTTCCAAGCGGTAAATTTTCTTTGCTGCCGCCTTTATCATTCCCATCATTGCAAATCCCACAATATGATGTGGGTGAAAGTAATGAAGCATGAGGTTGCCGTCGGTGAGCTCTTTGCATAGGAAAGAAGGGGATTCTAGGGTGGCCTGTCTTCCAAATGAAGTTCTAATGTGCTCCAGTAAAGCATCAAAGCCATTGAAGAAGTCTTGGAGGGTCCCACCTACAGCTCGAAGAACTCTCTCATTCTCATCAAAGCAGATATTGAAGAATTCTTCCCCAAACTTTTCTTGCATTTCCTCAAACTTTAAACCTATGGTAGAAAGAGACACTGATATAAGCAAAATTGTTTTACTACTGTGTAGCATTTTCCCTTGCTGTTTTCTTTTGCCTGGTATTTTTCAAAGTCACGTGAGAGTGGCTTCTCCTCTGTTCTACTTTTCCATCAAATACCCGCCCGCAGCACCTCTGTTTTCTTTGGTATTTGGGCATAGCCCCTGGCTCCCTGATTCACACTGCTTCATTCTTTTCTGCTTCCCACTTTATTTTCTCCTGCTTTCACTTTCCTGTCCCAGCCAACTGTTTGTGTGGCTTACATTTGTCTGCCTCCTTTTCCCTGCTGGAAGCCAGAGCACGTTATAATTTCCCTAGCTTTGCATATCACACACACTCCACTGTGTGAACACCCCTGCCAAGGATGCGCCGCTGCCAGTTTTGACCTCGTCACAGATGGGAAACTTCACGGTTCTACTTTTACAGCCTTTCCGTTCACTGCCTCTTCAAGGAAGCCAGTTCTTACCAGCATGGAAAATAAACCAGTGGGACTGAAAGCCAAGCACTGTAAAACACTCCAGTCAGATTATGCACTAGTAGCTGCTTTTCCTTTTTTCTTTTTTTGTTCTTCAAACAAATACCTTTCTCATTACAGGTAGTGGGAGCCACTCCTTTCTTCTTGCCTGCAAAGGAGAGCAAAATCTTTCTCTTTTAAACTTCTAAGTTCATGTATCTTTAAAAAAATCCCTGTCCCTTAGAGATACCTAAATTTCTAGTAGATGGTACAGTTCTACGCTACTTCACAATGTCACTTCAAGTCTCTATCACAGCAATTCGGAGAGTTTTGATTTACAGGAGTGGTAAGGCTGGTGTTCCACAGGAGGAGAAGAAGTATCAGCGATGGAATTCACACACAAAATGGTTGAGGTTGGAAGGGACCTCTACAGATCATCTAGTTCAGCCTTCCTGGAWACAAATGAATACCTAATTCTGCACTTATTTGTTATTTATGCCTTTAAAGACAAATTGAAAAAAATAATTTTAAGAGAGTTATTAAACATTTTCCTCTGTCTTATTCCAACATGGAAATRTTCTATTAATCTCATCTACATAAAATCACTACATCAAATAGMAGTTTGCCAAGCTTATCAGATATGTTTATGCTGTTCTAAGCCGTGATAGATGAGAAAAAAAAATACATCAACTGTATGCTGATCTAGCAAGAGGTTGCAAAGCAATCTGATAGGAGAAATAACAAAACAGTTTCCTCCAGTGTATTGAATTTATTACATATATAACAGGAACAGGCAAATACCTTAAACTGATCTTCAATATTCCAACAGAAAYGCAGGGCAGTAATTTATTTCCAAATGGCACAACAAGGCCTTTAATATAATTTGTATTCAGTATACCTTGTAACCCTGATAAAATCCTTATGGATCACTGAACTATTCCTTGTTTATTTACATTGCTTCCAGGCTGATAAATGTGGAAGAACAACGCAATTAGTGACTCTCATGCCCAGAGGAAAAATGGAGAACAGATGAAATCATTCATTTGTTGTTGCAGACAACAACCTTTGATCATCTCAAGGCAGTGTCTGAAATACCTATGCACACTGGTGTAATTATAATGATCAATATTTACAAAGTGTTCTATAGCATTACAAACCACATGCACAAATAGTTCTGTTTGGGCCTTGGATATGATTTAGAGCAGTTTAAAATTTGTAAAATTGCATATATAAGCAGGATAGCATGACAAAGCATATTTTCTGAGAAGAGCAATTATCTGGGTAAATCCTTCAGTATGGCATTATTCATAATGAAATCTGGTCACTAAGCTAGGTTAGTAGCCCTATTATTACAAAAATATTCCCAAGATCTTTTATGACCACAGATGGTCAGATCTGTGTCTGTGCCAAACGAAAGTACCTTTGGTGCACAGTGCCCCTAATCTCCTGGCTCAGAGGACAGTGTACAAGGTCCAGATTCAACACCATTATGTCTCCATATGACAGTACTGTAAGGTCTTCCACCAAAATACTCATTACAACCTGAAAAGAATTAAATTCTAATCCAAACCAATATTATTGCCATAATTAAACTCTCCTAACAAGGGTTAAGAAATTATCRTATTCTTATATAACTTCATGAACATACATATTTAAATCTTATTGTTAGTTAGAATGAACTGTGAAAAACTTTAGAAGAAGCAAGCATTTCAATGTGAACTGTCACATAACTGCAGCAGAGGCATCTAATGCACTAGGATAACAGAAGCCTTGAAAGTATAGGAAAAGGATGGTAACGGAAACACCAGGGCTTTTCATGAAAATCACCAAACACTGATACCGAACCATGTAACATCCTACAACACTGCCCAGAATGATAGTCTAGGCRGTGCTTTCTTTGTTCTRTATTATGAGACTACAATAAAACAARTAGTTGCTCTGGCCTCACTGATTCAAAATAGGGTAGAGGAAAAAATCACAACAGGAACTAATTTCATTGATCCCACATACATCACAGCCACACATTAAGTGCAATCTCATTATCACTACAAGGAGATATATCTTAGTACTAGGCCTAAAGTTTTGTTGCTTGTGTTTGACCAGTCCTGTTATCTGGCCCAGATGACTGGCTGTAAAATCTGAATGCAACATACTGACTCCAAGCAATATGAATTATACTATGAAATTCAGGTCAATGGCTTGGCTCTATACCACTTAAAAAAAAAAAAAAATTAGCCCTAAAGTGAGTTACACAAAATGCTAGCAGAAAATTAGATTATCTCTATTAGAAAAATAGATATGCCCACGGTAGGCCAAACTGCTGGTCTATCTTAGTCCAGAATTTTCTCTAGAAGAATAGGCATTACGAGATACTGAGAAAATGAAATAAAGTCAGACAAACCTCTAAAACAATCAAATATAATCTACCTATGGCAGAAACTTTCTTAAGCCTCACTAATTAGAGACGAATTTTTGCCCTGAAACACGATTACTTAAATCAAAACTCTTTAAATTTTTATAATTCAAATAAACACAAAGTGGCTCTTTCTGTACTTCTGCAAAGCTCTTGGTTTCAGTCACATAGTGGTGTGAAGTTGTGCAAAATACTTAATCTCAATTTTCACAGACTAAATCTTGCCCTTTATTTTAAAATAAATAATGAATAGAAGCATACATTTGTCTTCTATAAAACATTATGTTATATAACTTTCATCATAACCCTTTCATTTACTACCACATAAATGATCCCAGGCTTTTGAATATCTTCTGTGAAGTTCCTYCCCCATTATTTCCTATACTTACTGGAAATGTTTAGCTTTCAACAGAAAATGAAAATGACCATCATCATCATCAAAGAAATTGTCACAATGCACCAGATTGCTATTCAGCTGCTCAGAAATCTTATCTCAGCAATGACTGGTACCAGATGCCATAGAAGAACTGCAAAAGCTGATAGAAAATCATGCAAAAAAATGTTTTTAGGGAAGCTTCTTCTAACTGCTGCAATAAATGTTTGGCATGTTGGAGAGAACAGCTAGATCAGGCAATGTTTTTATTACTTACAAAAAATCCTGAAGTCAAAAAAAAATCCCCCAAAACTCCACAGGTTAACTATGATCTTTAAAATTTAAATTCAGATTTCCAAGTCAAGTATATTCACTATTTCCTGTGGTGCTTTTTCTTTTTTCATTTTGAGAAAGGTCAAAATCTCCAAAATGATCTTCTTCATAACTGTGAGGGTACAAATCTCCATAAACAGGCTACTCTTTTCACACTCTTCCTACCTTTAATTCTTTCTGTGCATCTTCATTTTGTTTTCATTTTAGGTTTGAAAAGCAGAGATTCAAACTGAAGATGGCATTCAAGATATGAGTCTATTTTCCCTTCACTAAAATGGAAGGCATTTTTTTTCAAAATGATTTATTATACTTTCCTGGAACACTAGTATTTTTATACTCACTTTGGATCACTATTGCACTCTGATCAAACCTTTCCATTCAGCAGTCCATAGGTAAGATCTACATGCATGCACGAGCCCTTCCAATACAAATACTACTGAACKCTTACAAATTTCTCTGCTTTGTAGTTTCTTTCCATTCCTTTTCCTTACAATGCCATTTGAATTCTAGTCTGTACTGAAGAAACATTAAATATGCACTTTATAAGATGGAAATCAAGAGGCAAAGTAACTGTAGAATGAAGATAATGCTGCAGGCCTTGATTATAAAGCACTTGGGGATTTATCACAAAAGTGCTACATAAGGTCTATTATTATCCTTTGAAAATGTATGTCAAAGACATTTAGATATATGTGTATACATTTGAGCCAGATCCAAAATTAGCAAAGCCTTTTAGCATAGGCTCAAATTAAATATTTCATTGAAGTGGAGCATAAATAAATGACTTCATACTATAATAAAATGCTAGTAAAAAGTCCATCATCATTTTCTTTTTGGCAATTCCTGTAAACTGTGAGCCTGCCACAAAAGTTCAAACTAATGCTGAATTTTAAAGTAATTAGTACAGAACTTTGTGGAGAAATTATGTAGGAATCTGCTCTTATTAAAGAAATCACAAATCATAGGYTCTTCAAAAATAAAAAGAAAATAAATGATGTGATCAAAATGTCAAAGCAATCCATTTGCTTGCAAAGCACACAGAAATAGTTACAAACCATCCAATTATTCCTTAAAGTAAATCATCAAGAACATTGTCACTGAGTGGCCAGCATCTGATTCCTTTGGCATACACAAACCCATCTTACCTGGGATTCCCATTAAGAATCTTTAAATGTAAATACTAGCAGGATGGGAGAMTTCAACAAGAATTTTCCACCTTCATTTATAGAAGATACCTCTTAAACTTATTTGGTCTAGACCATTTTTAGCGTAAGCGTTTATTTACATTTAGCATAAGATCTTTCAAACAGTCCTTTGGATGGAGACCCACGTAGCAGTTTAAGATTCCAAAGGATGATCTGTAGGTGGTAGGGGAACCAACATTCATCCTCTTATTAAAAAAAGACT